GTGGGACTGCAAACCGCTCCAGCCACTCTGGAAATCCTCGTGGATAATCCTCAAGAAAACCAAAAATAAACTTACCGCACGACCCAGATGTATCACTCCTCGGCATACGCTCACAGGATTCCACATCTTATTCCACAAATACTTATTCAGCTATGTTCATTGCTACTCTATTCACAACAGCCAGGAAATGGAAACATATTAGGTGTCCTCTAGCTGAGGAATGGGTAATGAAAATGTGGTACATATACACTATGGAATGCCATTCATAAAGGAAAAATTAAATCACGAAATTTTTAGGTGAAGAGACGGGACTTGAAAAGGTCGTACTGAGGGAGTTAACCCAAACCCAGAAAGACGAATGTCACATGTTCTCTCTTATTTGTGGTTCTTAACCATCTCCAGATGTGAGTATTTAACCTGGAGTAGCCACAGAAATAAGGAAGGTAAAAGGGAATGGGGATGGGGCTAGAGTGGGGAATGGCGGCATAGAGGTGATAGGAAGGGGGAGATGGGGTACATGGTGAGGGGAGCTTTTGTTGGGAAGGGGAGAGGGAGCTCAATATAGGAGAGGGAGAGAGGAGACAAAATCACACTAAGGATGTTTGATAAAACCTCAAGGGTTCATATTATTTTATATTTACCTACAATTATATATATACATATATAATACATGTAAGTGTATATACATATATATGTATATGTATATATCTTAAATGAAGTTATGAAACTCGGGCTGACAATGCTTCTCATAAAAGACTAACAAAAAAACCAGTTAAAGACCTGAGAACCTCCACTTGAGTTGCTGTTCAGGGTAGTTAACTGACTCCCCAAACAGTATAGGCGATTGCTTGTTGTCCTGGGTTGCCTCTTAGAGGTTGAAGTTAAATCTCTACTGCTGAAGACATGGCACATTTCTGAAAAGGACTTGGAGATTTGACTGAACAAAACCAGTGAACAAGACTTGCTCAAAGCAGTGAAGAAACATCAGAATTTGATGCGTGTAACTTGCTGAGGGCCACCTATGTCTGCATTTGGATTCAGCAATATCCAAAGACTATTGTACCATTTTGGAGATATTCTTGAATATGAATAGAAGAATGGGAATCTTATTGTTCTGCTATCTGAACTTTTAAAATACCATGATCTTTGAAGACTGTGAAATGATACTCTAAAGGTGTAGAAAATATAGCCGGGCAGTGGTGGCGCACGCCTTTAATCCCAGCACTTGGGAGGCAGAGCCAGGCGGATCTCTGTGAGTTCGAGGCCAGCCTGGGCTACCAAGTGAGTTCCAGGAAAAGGCGCAAAGCTACACAGAGAAACCCTGTCTCGAAAAACAAAAAAAAAAAAAAAAAAAAGAAAATATGATTTATAGTCATAAATGGAATACAGTAATAACAATAATATGCCAATGAAGGATCTACTTCATCAGACAGCTCCTCCTGAACTTCAATTTCTAAGCATTTGTGTATTCAGTTTGGTATTGGATATAGCAAACATAAAGGATTTTAAGAAAATGTACAGGAGAAAATAATTTTAGATAGAGATACTTGTATTTGCTTTTTCTGAAAATTGAGAAAAGCTAGCACATTCCAATTTTGCTGACTGGTCCAGTTCTCTTTCAAAAGCATTTCTTTGAGTTAAAGAAGTCTGAAATAACTGACCACAATGACTGTACCCTGTACCAGAAGCCTTCAGGATGCATGAAAGTCTTTCTTCACCTAACAAAAATATCACCAATCTAAAAATCAAAATCAAAAACAAAAACAAAAAGACGATTAGCGCGGTAGATACTTGAATTATCAACTGAAGTTTCCTCCTCTGGGTTTCCTCTTAGGCTGTTTCCTCCTGCTACTCCAGCAGCTCTCACACCTTTCATTCTATACAAAGAGGAAGCCAACCACAAACTAGAGCCAGAAAGCCTCCAGCATCAACCGTTGAAATGAGAGTCGTGGTACCTGAGGGGGACAACGCTTTCTGAAATTCCAACGGCATGGATTTCATGATCACAAGTCAAAACATAAGAGGAGAAGACAAAGTTTATACACAAACAACCCAGCATGTACTTGCTACTTCTGGGAGGGAGAAAGATGTAAAGCTCGTTTAGTTCAGCCACACAAGACGATGAAGGAGTTTCCCTGGGTTGAGGAAAGGAACATCAAAGGGGAGAAGAAAGCAGAAGCATGTATGAGGGGTCTGGCTCTCACCTTGTTTCTGCCTTCAGCAGAGTCCAGGTGGGGAAAGCAACTAGCAATCAATGGTGGGTATAGCCTTCTTTCTCTGGTTTTAACTAAAGATACCAAAAGACTTGGAGGAAATCTACATCCATCCTGGCCAGCAAGCTATAAGAGATACATCCAGAAAGCAAGCCCAAGGAGAGCTCCTCACCAAGAAGAATGACAGGTCATTACTACGAACCCTGAAATGATATGGATGAAACCACAGCCAGACAACATTAAAGAATCTGACCTCTGAACCTAGGGAGTTGGGGGAGGGGTGATTCCCAGAGTAGTCAGCTGTGTTGGCTCAGTCTATGTCAGTCTGACACAGGCAATAGTCATCTGAGAAAACGGAACCCCAACTGAAAAAATCCTCTGTAAGATTGGGCTATAGGCATTTTCTTAATTATTGATTGATGTGGGATGGTCCAGGCCATTGTGAGTGGTGCCAACCCTGGTCTGGTGATCCTGGGTTCTATAAGAAAGCAGGCTCACTTTGTCCAGTGACTGACAGAGGCAGATGCAGAGATCCACAGCCAGGCACCAGGCTGAGCTCCGGGAATCCAACTGATGAGAGAGAGGAGGGATTCTACAGGCGAGGGACGTGGAGATCATGATGGGAGGACATGCAGAGATGACCAGCCACACTAGTGGAAGCCCATGAACTGTGGTAACTGGTGGCTGTGGAGTCCCCATGGGACTGGACTAGGCCCTCTGATACAGAAGACGGTTGTTTGGCTCGAACTTTTTGGGGGGCACCCAGGCAGGGGGATTGGAATCTGTCCCTGGTCTGTGGGCAGGTTTCTGGGAATCCAGGACCTGCAGTGTGACACCTTGCACAGCCTTGGTGCAGTGATAAGGAGCTTGGACCTACCTAGGCTCAGTGTGCTGGGCTCTGCTGACTTCCCATGGGAGAGCTCCGTTTGGGGGATGTGGGGATGCGGGGTGGCTTGGGAAAGAGGGCTGGGGGTGGGGGAGGGAGAAGGGGGATCTGTGGATGGTATGTGGAGTGAGTAGAAAATTTCTTAATAAAGAAAAAAATTGGAAATGAAAAGAAGAAGAAGAAGAAGAAGAAGAAGAAGAAGAAGAAGAAGAAGAAGAAGAAGAAGCAATAGCAGAAGAAGAAGAAGAAGAAGAAGAAGGAGAAGAAGAAGAAGAAGAAGAAGAAGAAGAAGAAGAAGAAGAAGAAGAAGAAGAAGAAGAAGAAGAAGAAGAAGAAGAAGAAGAAAGCAGGCTGAGCAAAGTCATGAGGAGCAAGCCAGTAAGCAGCACTCCTCCATGGCTTCTGCACCAGCTCCTGCCTGGTTTGAGTTCCTGTCCAACTTCCTCCAGTCATAGACTACAGTGTGAAGGTATAAGCCAAATAAACCCTTTCCTCCTCAACTTGCTTTTGGTATGGTGTTTCATCACAGCAATAGTAATCCTAACTAAGACAGTAGCTTACATGGGGTGAGTAATCAGGGTGCTCAGGAGCACTGTGGCCATTTCTGGACATGCATCAAACCACAAGGCCTGAAGCCCGGAGGAATAAGTTCAGAAATGGCCAGAGATGAACAAAAGATAACCAGGACCCGGTGTCATCTTGCCCTGACCTAAAATGCTAGTTAAATTACCTTGATTTAAAATTTGTGTCACTTCCTGTGCAGAAGGGAGGGAAATGCCGAGGAAGAATCTAGACTGACTGAGATGATGACCATTATCCACTGAATTTGTAAGCCCCTCCATGTCTGAGTCAACCTTGAATCAGCACATGATTTTTGTCACCACCACATAAAGGGGGGATTTGAAATCAGGCTCCATTATAAAGAGGTGAAAGAAGTTTCATTGTTGCATCCTGTGCAGTGTGGGTGAAAGGTGCGTGCTCACAACTGGCCTTCCTGCTGTTGAAAGTCACTCTCCCGACCACACCCTCAAGCCAGTTGATTGGTCTCATTCAGCCTTTCTTCTTAAAGGGCTCTCTTCAATCATATTTACTTCTCTCCTCATTTAACCGTAGACACCCCAAAGTCTGTGTTGTGCAAAACAAATCAGTCATCCTCAGCTCCTCCTCTGGCTACAGGCAAACCCATTACACCTTCAGCACTACAGCACATACGTCCACTGAACAGAATCCTTTCTTAGAAGCCTTAAGGGTTATGACAAGTGTGTTGGTTGATCTTCACGGTCTTTGTGTGTGTGTGTGTGTGTGTGTGTGTGTGTGTGTGTGTGTGATTCAGTGATTCAGAATCACTCTGCAAACACTTCTGGGTGGGCTGAGTGCCTGCACCACATTTTCACAGTTCCTACAGAGACCAAAAGAGAGTGTGGGGATCCTCAGGAACTGGAATTACAGGCTCTTGTGATCCGCCATGTTAGTGCTAGGAGCTGAGCCTAGTTCGTCTGGAAGAGCCATTAGTGCTCTTAACTGCTGAGCCATCTCTCCAGCCCCTCCGATAAGGTTCACCAAGTAGGGAAGACCCATCCTAAAGTGGGTGGCACCATCCCATGGACTGGGGTCTCATACTAAATGAAAAGGAGAAAGCAGGCTGAATAGTAGTGTTCATCTCTCTACTTCCTGACCATGGACCTTATATGCCTGCTTCCATCTCTTGCCTATCACGAAAGACTGCACCCCACCCCCAGACACCCCCAACCACAAGTGAGACAAAATAAACCTGTCCTTCCTTAAGCTTCTTTTGTCAGGTCATCTGTCACAGTAGTGAGAAAGAGAAACTAATGCAGTGTCTTTCTCCCCTAAGACTTGTGAAGCGGTAACGTGCTAGTTATTTATATCCACTGTCTTAGGGTTTCCATTGTTGTGAAGAGACATCATGACCACCAAGAACAGCAGCAGCAGCAGTGGGGTGGAGCCAGCTGGATCCTAGAAGACAAGCTGTGTGTGCTGCAGAGGGCAGAGCTGGAGAAGTGACCCAAGTTCTTTGGAGGAGTCCAGAAGATCATGAGTGGATCCCAGACATTGGATACTGAGTTATTTACAGCTGGGGTTTGGATTTGCTTTGATTTTATTGTGACTCCACCCTGGTTCTTCCCTCTTGAAGAAAGCATTTAACTTAATTTTTTATTTTTGTAGGAGTCCACGGCTGGAAGGACTTTGAACTTTCAAAAGATGTTTTAGATTTTTAAAGGGATTGAATATTTTAAAGAGATAACCTTGAATGTGTTTGACTTTGTACGATCAGAGGGACTTTTAAAGTTATTTGTTTTATACTGTGATATTAATATTAACATTCCATCTTGGGGACAAATGAGAAAGGAAAGGTTCTGATCGAAAAGTGATGTGTTTGTGTGTCACATTGACAAGCAGCCAGTTGTACTGTCTACTTTTATGTCAACTTCACACAAACCGGAGTCACCTGAGACTAGGGAGCCTCAACTGAGAAAATGCCTCCGGAAGATCCAGCTATAAGGCATTGCCTTAATTAGTGATGAATGGGGGAGGGCCCAGCCATTGTGGGTGGTGCCATTCCTAGGCTGGTGGTCCTGAGTTATATAAGAGAGCAGGCTAAGCAAGCTGTAAGAATCAGGCTATTAAGCAGCACCCCTCCATGGCCTCTGCATCAGTTCCTGACTCTGGGATCCTTCCCTGTTTGAGTTCCTGCTCTCACCCCTTCTGAAGATGAGCTGTTATATGGAAGTGTGAGTGCAATTAACCCTTTCCTCCCAAAGTTGCTTTGGTCATGGGGTTCCATCACCGTAATAGTAACCCTAACTAAGACATTGACCTTATCTAAACTCAGATAAAAATCTGTAGAAGTTTAGAAAGAAAATTGAATGAAACATATATAGTAAGTCTGAGGAACTCAGCTCCTTGTATCCTTATTTCCAAATTCTTCACCATTAGGCACTGTATCACGAATATTCTAAGCCTTTGCGCATGTGTTATTAACAACTTTGCAGGCTGTTTCTTGATCCTTTCATTTCATCTGTAGGTTTGAATTTGTTCCAGTCTGCTTAAGCCAGTTCACTGGTTAATGAAACAACTGATGGCTGATTGGCTCTGTCTCCACAGTGAGTGGTAATTATCTGCTTTCTTATATGGCAACCTGCTCAGTATACTCAGCCACTCATTGCTTCCTGAAGCCTCAGGGAATCTTGTAATTGCCCTTTGGTGACAGCAGTCATTCCCTGCCCAACTTTTAATTTCATTTCACGACTAAATTTTGATCATGAACAGTTCCTGCACATCTCTTTGGGAGCTGAAGCTGATGTGTGATGTTACTGTTCAATCAATTTAGATCCACCTGTCACATGGTCGCCATGGTCTCCCAAAGCACTGGCCCCACACTCTCCTTTGAGGAGACACCTCTAGATTTATATTATTTCCCAACCAATGTTCTCACAAAAGGTTGCGGGGATAGAGTTACATAAATAGGTGGAATCACAAAAGTCTTGCCCCCAATGAACAAAGCATTACTTCAACATGACTACCACTCATAAAAAATAGACATTTCCAATATATTCTTGTTACTAAAAAGACGACATGTAGTACACTGCTTTTAACCTTCACGAGCTAATTCTTGTTTCAAATTATATAATTTTTAAAGCATTCTATTAAAAATTTGACTAATTCTAAAAAGCAATAGCTTTAAAAGCAATCTTTTATGAGCAACTAAATTGTACTACAACCACTGAGCAGTAAGGTATATTAAATTCAGATCCAATTTGATAGACTTCTCTATTTGAAAAAAATATTTTCTAATCAGAGGAATATAATAGGTTGGTTTAAGAACAAACTATAAGAGTTGGAAAAGTAACTCAGCAGCTAAGAGTACTTATTCTTGCTGAGGATCTCTGTTCAGTTCCCAGCACCCACATGGTGGCTCATAAGCATTCATAACTCCATCTCCCAAGGATCCAATGCTTTCTTCTTACTCTGAGGGTACCAGATATGCATATGGTACAAATACAAGCATGCAAGCCAAACACCCATGAGATAAAATAAATCTATTTTAAACAAATAAAAAGAATAAACATATAGGTGCAATTCATCATAATGAATGATGAATTCAAAATGAATTCATCATTCATTTGTTAGACTAAAACAAAAACAAACCTGTTTGTCATCTTAAGAGATGCAGAAAAGTCATCTCACAAAATACAAGATCCACTCCCAATTTAAAAAAATGATTCAGCAGCTTAGGAAGAGAGACCTTCCCCTACCTGATAAAGTCTACGAAGATATAGGCAAAACAGTAATACACATAAAATAGGTAATTCTAAAAATAAATTTAAAAAGTATTTATCAATTGAGTTGGAAGACTAAGGGCTAACAAAATTTGTAATTGTAAGCAATAGCACCATCTACTCTGAAATAGTTCATAAATATTTTATTTTTCACAATACCCCTATGAAGAAAGATTATAGACATTATCAGAATTATGAGGGGGAAATACCCCCCACCCCAAGAAGAAGTAACTTAACACAGCTGGATTCAGAATCATGCTGTCTAACTCAAATTCTCATGCCCTGTCCTTCCACTGGCTTGTTGAGAAGGTCATTGTGTTGTTGCTGAGGCTGACATACTGGCATCCCATAATTCACTGGACTTCTTCAGCCAAGGGTTCATGTCCTGTTAGAGGGTCAATGGAGATGTCTGAGTCTTGACTTCACAGAGATATGTGTATCCTTTATGTCAATGGGATGACATTTGTAGTGATTTACGTCATGGCATTAGCTGGCATTAGTAATAAATTACAACATAGGGACAATACTGTCAAGCGAAAATCATCTAAATTTCCAGATTTTTAAAAACATACAACCATTTCAATATCTTCTCCTTTTCTTTATCCTTCACTCTTCTTTTATTCCAAATAAAAATCTTCAAATGATTAACTTACAGAAATAATTGACTCATGCATAAAGTTTGAAGATTTTAAAATCTCAAGGACTGAAGAGTCTGCTGGCAGGCTCTAAGAGAAACGTAGGGAAAGATCCAGGGTCTATGTGAGTTCATTTCACATGGCAGCAGCCTGGTAAATGTTTGTTGAATTAACCAATTATTCAAGTCAACAAATATTTGCTGAACTAAACTCTGTGGAGGCTGCAGGAAGAAAAGGTCTTGTCCCCAAGCCTCAATGACCTCACTGAGGAAAATCAGCATGGATACCTGAACACTGAAAGCTGACTGAGTAGGATTTTGGGGGCAAATAATTGTCCATTTAGTGGGCGGGTAACAGAACACAAAGATTTTTACAGCAGAATATAGCCGTTCGGTCAGAGCTGATCAAGTAAATAGTTTGGGGAGAAGAGGACCTCAGTCAAGCCTTGAAGAATGACTCAGCTTTAGATGGATGGAAAAGGTCCAAGGGAGGGCTCCTCTCAACAACTCGGAACAGAGAAACACAAAAGCTGTCTGAGAGGCCATTTGTTCATTTAAGACAGGGAATGTTTGGGATGGAAATTGCTTCTGCCAGAGCAATCATTGACCTTTAGGTACAGATATCAAAGAAGCAAAATGGAGGACTGGAGACATAGCTTTCAGTGGTGGGAGGCTTGCAGAGCAGGTCCCTGGGTCCAACCCCAGCACTGCAAAAAAATAAATAAATAAATAAAATCAAAACTTCTTAAGTACTCTCTAATGCTTTGGAGACTAAAATTCAATAAATTAGTAAAATCCAAGTTAGAAACAAGATCACTGTCTTTTTGTGATTTTCTTCTAATTACTTAGTAAAATTTCATTCTAAAGAATGTCACTGAAGCCTGATGAGATGGCTCAGTGGGAAAATGTGCCTGTCTCCAACTCTGATGACCTGAGTTTTATACTCAGGATCCATATTGCAGAGGCAAGAACCAGCTCCCTCAAGTAGTCCTCTGACTACAACCACACTCTGTGACATTAAGGTGCCCCCCACAGTTACGGACACACACACACACACACACACACACACACACACACACACACACACACACACAAATACGTAAATAAATGTAATCATCTTTAAAGAAATACATTTTTAAAAGGATAAATATCATTTGTATGAGTAGTTATGCTTTCCTAGAGTTTTGTCTATGATTGAAAATTTAAAGAATAGCCCCAAACACTGTTTATGAGTTAAAATAAAATTATTTAAATTATCAACAAATACCTTTTCCTTCGTGACTATGAGTAGTCAATATGACACATTGAAATCAGAACTCCCTGTGTGTCTTTGTGTCTAAGGCCATCTTATGCCTTTCACTTGTTATGGTTTTAGTTGAGATTATGTAGTATGGGGATAATTGCTTTCTGCTTGCTTCTCTGTCTTTCAATAGCTGTGTATCAGTTAATGATCTGTTTCCTTCAAGTCACTCACAGACCCACTTTATTTTCTGACATCTGTAAAGAGCTTTAGCACCAAGCAATCTACCCAGGACATGGCCCTTGAGTTTCCTGCATGTTGCTTAGCTGTAGTTAAATGACAACAAACAGGAATGCCTTTTCCTAGACGCTGACTGCTTTGTTTTAAAAACCCCACTTTTCTGCCACAGAAGTGAGACTGGCACGGAGGCTTTCTAGTCTCCAAGGGAGGCTGATAGAAGGAAACGAAGACAGGTCTATGACTGGAGAAAACTTGTCGTCATCCTTCCACAGCTGGAGGCATGTGCCAAGAAAGCATGCTAAGAATAGAAGAAAGTGTTTGTTTGTGGCTGTTTAATGTAGCTGTGAGAGGCAGCTGCAGATCTTCCTGTGGAAACAGTCCCACACCCTGTTCACCCCAAGAATTCTTTCCTTCCAACTAAGAACAGATTCCTCCCACCCCGGAAATTCATGGGATCATGGAAACTCTGAGATCCTTTAGGAGAATCTACCCAACATGTCTTGTCTCCTACCAAGTACTCACACCCACACAAGATACTTGCCACTTAGCTGTGAGTGAAAGATCTGGTCAAAATAGAACTCTAATGTCTTGGGAAGGGGCTGGGAGAGAGCTAGAATAGAAGGGACTCTTCTTTCTCTGGAAAGATGTCTGCTCATCTTTCAAAACCCAGTTCAAAGCCTCCTTGTCTATCAAGGCTTTCCCAATTCTCTGAGGCAGCACGATGTCCTGACCTCATGTGCTCCTGGAGACCTCAGCAAGTTACGCTTACCATAGTGCTTGCTTAGTGTGTTACAGTATTCTGTTACAAGTCCTCCCTGATTTTATAGATCTATCTCCTGTCCTGGTGCTTGCCACTTAGATCAATTAACAACTGCTGATTGAATGACCGTCCAGAACTTCCCCTGCAGCCCACCTCACCTCCAATATGTCAGCCATACATTCTCAGACTGGATTCACATCTAAGTTGAAATAATTACTTGAAAAATAATCTTAAGCCCCGTATCTTTTAGAAAGTAAACTAAATTAGGATGGGTGTTTGTTTTAAAAGTCTTTAATTTGTGTGTTGAGTAAATTGTTGGCTACAACCTACAATGAATCAAATTCAAAGCGGAGAAGGTCATTTAGCATTCAGCTCAGAGAAATGTAATCTCTGGATTAAGTTAAAGTTAAAAAAGAAAAAATTGAGCCGGCCTGTCTGTCTTTATTTTGTAGGAAGTTTCTTTGTCCTTCATTAGCTGGGTATGATTCAGCTTGACAATTCTTTTTGCACTTTATGCTTCTCTTATCCTTATGTGACACTGTACACCAAAATCTGAGGGGATAGCTTAATTAGTAGTCACCCTGAAAGCAGAATGTACCCACTTCAACCCCCAGAACCCACATTTTAAAACCTAGGTGCACAAACTCCTGTAATCCTAATCCTGGGGAGGCAGAGCAGATTCTCTGACCTCCACAAGGATGTACAAGCCCATCTGTGCCCACCTATATACCCACATGTGCCCACACAGAGACAGGGGAATCCCACAGTAAGTATTTTAGGGACTATGCAGAATAGAACCTGAGATTATATGCTAACCCCCTCAACACACACACCCTCTATCTCACTAAGGTACAGCAAGTACAAGATGTCAAATTCTTTAAATTTAATTTTTATAACATTAGGTCTATCCACATGTTTCAGTCCATTGGCAAATTCGAAATTATTTACTCGGGGGACTCTTGACGACATTCCTGATAAATCACCCCAGCTGTGACGCGAGGCCCTGGAATTGACTTCCTGTTTGTTCTATCCACTATCTTCTCTGTCTGTTTAAAATGAGGCAAGCTATGGCAGACATCCATCCTCTATGAAATAACCACTAACCTGACAGAGAGCAGAGTTCAGTAGAAAGGTTGGATAGATCTTTGGGTAAAACTCAAACCCACATAAAACTTGGTATGAGCAAATTGTAGGAATTCATGAAACCAAAAATAAATGTAGTGAACTTGCAAAGGCTCAGGACTCAGAGAAGTCTGTCCTTGAAACTTCTGGTGTAAGGATCAAATTTCCCTATAAACTTTAAGAAGTATTAATATTTGCAATTCTTTCTTACAGTAAATAGTTGTTCCCTGGGAAAAAAGCACAGAAGACGTAAATGGTTTTTTTTTTTTTAACCCATGTTTTCCTCCATTAATTCAGAGAGTATATTCAATTTTTAGACATACATAAAAATGTCTTTAAAATCTGTTTTCTTATTTCCTATAGAAGTAAGGCCTATCATCCTATGTAGAGTGCTACTGTTTTTTGTTTGTTTCCCCAGAAACACAAAAAGAGCATATAACATTTGACTATCTGTGTCTATAGATACACCAGAAATGCTTTTGGTCTGCTTTATTATTTCCTCTAAAAATGGGTTTATTTTAGTTTGAAGATTTTCACTTGTTTGTTTGCTTGTTTGGGTGCTGGGGATTGCCTTCAGGGTCTAACGCACACTAAGCATTTGCTCTACATGGTACCGTAAAACTATACTGTACTCTGAACTGTACTACCAGCACTGGAACATGCATGTGTATACATGTATTTAAATTTACATGTTCACATTTGTTAGAACACATATAAGAAAATCTAAAAAAGTTTCTTAAACTTATATGCTAAACAAATTAGCAAAAAAAAAGTTCTTAGTAACTACTTGGAGCCTATGAAGAGAATTATTTGAGAATATTATAGGATAGGCTAGAGAGATGGCTTAATAGGTAAGAGCATTGGTTGTTCTTCCAAAGGGTCTGGGTTCAATTTCAGCATCTACATGGGGGCTTACATCTGTCCATAAATCCAGTACCCGGCATCTGACACTATCTTCTGGCCTTTGTGGTCAGCAGACATATATGCAAACAAAACACTCATAAATATAAAATAATACAATAATAATAATATAGAAAATATGTTTTTCCATGCCACATCTTAGCCATATCTACCTATGCATTTCATATGGATGTTGAAGCCTAGACATGCCAGGAAAAGACATTCGTGTGTGTGTGTGTGTGTGTGTGTATATATATATGTTCTTTGGATAGGGCAGAAAGTAACTGAAAATTCTCAGGAGATCCTTTTTTTAAGAATTTATTTTTATTTTCAATTTCATATATATATATATATATATATATATATATATATATATATGTATGTATATTACACTTGAGTACAGTACCATGGAGGACAGAAGATGGTGTCGGATTCCCCAGTACCAGAGTGACAGGCAGTTGTGAACTGGCCAACATGGGCGCTAAAAAACTGAACCTAGATCCTCCCCAAGAGTAGTATGTGCTCTTGACCACTGAGCCATCTCTACAGGCTCTGGAGACCATTTATTGCAACCTCATCAGGTCAGTTTGGTGGACTCCTGTTGTTTGTGAGCATGTCACAAACTTTGAGTTTTATCTCAGCCAGAGCCATGACACCAAGCATGGACACACCATAATGTCACCCTCTGCATCCTCTGAGATCTGAAATGGCCTAAAACTTAAAATGGAAAGCAAAACAACAACAAGCC